TTGGTCCAGGGTCTAGGGATCCGCGGGTGCTCAGAGAAGAGGGTGACAGGGACCCTCAGGATAAGGGACGTTTGGAATGACCTGCAGGTTGTGGAGCTGATCTGCTTTCAAGCTGCTGGGCTGCCCACAGCTCCCCCATCCCTCTCCCCTGCCCACAGCTCCCCCCATCCCTCTCCCCTGCCCACAGCTCCCTGTGCTCCCGGGGCAGTACTGTGGGGGAGCCTCCCCCCTCCCCCTTCTCAGGCCCTCCCCAAGTGAGGGGTTTAGGGCAGAGACATCCCCATCCCTGCAGACTCCCTCTGGACGCCTGCACCCCGTGGCCTTCCCTGTGGATGCGCCTGCCCATTGTGGGGCATGATTAACCTGTGTGACTGCTGATGGGTGCTCTCCCCTCCCCCGCAGCCCTGAGACCATGCGGATGGCCCGGGGGGGCAGCTCCGGCCTCCTGAAGGCTGAAGAGCCAGCCCTGGGGGCCCGGCCCTGCCTGTGCCCCTGCGCGGTGTGCAGGAGGGGGGCCGGGAGAGCGCGGGGCTGGCGGAGCAGGTGACCCAAGGCCTCACCCCTGTGAGGGGAACATGGGGCCCACATGCTTATGCTGGGCTGCCTGGCCCAGCCGTGGCTCGACTCTAGGCAGACAATGCTGTCGCCCCAGGGTGGTGCCCAGCCCTGGGGGCCCGGCCCTGCCTGTGCCCCTGCGCGGTGTGCAGGAGGGGGGCCGGGAGAGCGCGGGGCTGGCGGAGCAGGTGACCCAAGGCCTCACCCCTGTGAGGGGAACATGGGGCCCACATGCTTATGCTGGGCTGCCTGGCCCAGCCGTGGCTCGACTCTAGGCAGACAATGCTGTCGCCCCAGGGTGGTGCCTGGGGGCACTGGGTGAGGGATGACGCCTGCTCTGGGGCAGGAGGGGACCCAGGTGTTGGGCAGTGGGGAGGAGAGTGCTGGGGGAGACAGGGGACTGATGGTGCCTCTCTCCCTGTGTCTGGCTGGGAGCCAGGCGTGACCCATGAGCTGGCCAGCACCCTGGACATCCTGCCAACCCTGGGTCACGTTGGATGGCTACGACCTGAGCCCGGTGCTGTTTGGCAGGGGGAAGGTGAGAGCCCTGGGGGGCGGGCACCAGTCCGACAGG